TCTTGGAACGCAATGCCCTAGTAGGACAGTAGTGTATAATGAGTTCTTTAAGGTAAGATGGCGCCTGCCCATTGTAGGCGAGAAGAAGAATTTTAAATTCTATCCTGTGTTCTATAGGGAGCCAGTGTAAGGCAGCCAGAACAGGAGTAATGTGGTCCCTTTTCCTAACTCTGGCTAGTACACGAGCTGCAGCATTTTGAATCAGCTGAAGCGACTTGACTGACTTCTTGGTACACCCTGATAATAAGGAGTTACAATAATCCAGCCTTGAAGTAACAAATGCATGGACTAGTTTCTCTGCATCGTTTTGAGGCAAGATATGCCTGATTTTTGCAATGTTACGTAGATGGAAGTAGGCGGTCCTTGAAATTGATTTTATGTGGATAAATCTTGATCAAATATAACACCAAGATTCCTTACAGTCTCGCTGGAGGCCAAATTAATGCCATCCATAGTTAGTATATCTTTAGATCATTTGTTTCGTAGATTCTTCGGGCCAAGTACAATAACTTCAGTTTTGGTCGTGTTTAACATCAAAAAATGTAAGGTCATCCACGTTTTTAAGTCCTTGAGGCAGTCTTGAATTTTATTTAGATGATTAATTTCATCAGGCTTGATTGATAAATATAGTTGAGTATCATCCGCATAACAATTAAAGTTTACAGAATGATTCCTTATAATATTGCCTAACGGAAGCATATGTGACCCGCTCTATCGAAATCAGTTGGAAGTCGCAACGGCTCATTTCAAAATAAACGTGGATTTACGTAAAAAACAATTTTTTCGGGGTTCGGGTGTTTTGTTTGATTTTAAACAAACAAAGTCTTGGCTTTCAGAATATGAAACTTTTATTTCCAAAATCACACGATAAATACATTTTTGAAGCTTGTAAAGGGACGAAGACAGGCACCTCTCACTCGCAATCTGCTCTTCCGCAGCGCCGCCCCCCCCCCCCCCCCCTCCGGCTGAAATTATGAATGTAAGAGTATAGTAATCATAGATAACACGGCAGGGTCCGTTACAGTTTGTTTTCATCTGATTTCAATTCAACAAAGTCTTGGCTTTCAGAATATTAAACTTGTTTCGGCAAATTCAGATGATAAATACAACTTTGAAGCTTGTAACGGCATAATTACAAGCGGAGAACGGAGTAACTTAACGTCACAGCAGGCATAACAACAGCCGGTGTTTCTCGTGAGTGTTTTCCCCGGGAAACAAACACAATACACACAAACGGAAAATTACACAAACACTAGTGCTGGGGGGAAACGATTATTTTGAAAACGATTAATCGGGCGATTATTTGATCGATTAGTCGACTAATCTAACGATTATTTTTCTGTTGTTCAATTCATAAAAAACGTAATTTAAGAAAAACGTAATGTAAAACATTTTTTTTTCACGATACTGTGTCTCAGGGGATCTTAATATTTAAGAACCTATTAATGTGTTATACCAGATTAACGGAAATAATCTCAGCTAACTGACGATACAAACCATGTTTACCAAAACAAAACACAAGTCTCATAAGAAGCATCTAAATGACCCCTGAGCGAAAAATGCTAACGGACATTGGCACAGAACTCAAGATAAAAGTACCCTTATTACTTATCGTAGCTGCACATACAATATATCCGATTAAAGCTGAGACTCCACAGATTATGTAGGTATATAGTATCATCACTGAGTGATCCGGACTCGCGACAGGGGAAACAAATACAGTCATCACAACACGTACCTTCACAGAGCTTCTCGGGAGATCGTCTCACCACCGTAATCTGATCAAAAGACGTGTTCAATGGCAATAAAATGAGAAAAAACGCGGCCGAATCGGTTAATCCATAGGTTTTTAACGTCTATGTATAAAAAAATGATTGAATTTATAATCCATAATTCCATTTTATGTAAAAATCGGAGAGCAAATGCTAGCTGCTAATGGTAGCCACCACAGCTAGCTGCTGCTTCTGCTAGGCTATGCAGCAGTCTCAGTGAGATATAATATCTTTGCGTTTTGGACTAACTTTAAAATATTCCCATGCTTTTGAAGACCTAGGGCGAGATGTTTTCGTTTGGGGGCTTCGTGCGCAATCCTGTGAGGAGGAGGTGGTAGCCGTTTCAGTCTCCATTGTGTTTGAAGTGCGATTGCGAACTGCTTGTTGCTTTGGGTGACCCACGTGTGTGTAGCGACGCGTCGACGCGGAAATATGTCGTCGACAATATTTTGAAGTCGACGCGTCGACAACGTCGACGCGTCGCTACAGCACTAACAAACACACAAACACACGCACAGTATACACACACACACGAGCTTCCCCTCCAAATGAAAATATCTTCCCTCCATAGTATTTTGATCATTTGCTCCACTAATAATCAATCAGATCGATGGATTCCAGAGAAGAGGAAACTTTGAAGGCCTTTTTCTCAAAATGATGACTCAGTGACAGTCATTATATAATGTGACATATTTTGCTTAATATTTGGAGTACAAAAACAATTCTGATATCATTAGAAAGCTAGGAATATCCTCTTTCCAACAGTGTATACAACAAAAAATGTGTCTTCGGGTCAATGCGACTGATTTCGATAGAGCAGGTCACATATATAATGTGAACAAAATAGGTCCGAGCACTGAGCCCTGTGGCACTCCATGGCTAACTTTGGTTTGCGTGGAAGATTCATCGCTGACACGTACAAACTGAGAGCGTTCAGATAGATAGGACCTAAACCAGACTAAAGCAGTTCCCTGTATGCCAACTAAGTGCTCTAATCTTTGCAATAGGATATCATGGTCGATAGTATCAAATGCAGCACTGAGATCGAGCAAAACAAGAATAGAGACATGTCCCTTGTCTGAGGCTATTAGAATGTCATTTGTGACTTTAACCAGAGCTGTCTCTGTGCTATGATGTGTTATAAAGCCAGACTGAAAATCTTTAAATAAATCATTGTTTTTTAAGTAATCACACAGCAGTTTTGCGACCGCTTTCTCAATAATTTTTGAGAGGAACGGAAAATGTGTGTGCGTGTGTGTGTGTGTGTGTGTGTGTGTGTGTGTGTGTGTGTGTGTGTGTGTGTGTGTGTGTGTGTGTGTGTGTGTGTGTGTGTGTGTGTGTGTGTGTGTGTGTGTGTGTGTGTGTGTGTGTGTGTGTGTGTGTGTGTGTGTGTGTGTGTGTGTGTGCAGCGAACAGGCCAGCAGGCACGTGTGGGGGTGGTGGGGTAAGGCCAAGGTTGACAATTTCAGGTCAGCTGATCACAGAGTTGAGACAGATGGTGATTCAGCAGCGTTTGGCAGCAGGTTCCCTCAGGGACTCTGGGGTCCCACATGAAGCAAACATACATAAAGACAAGAGGGGGAAGGAGCATAATGCTAGAACTGCGGAGGAGATGGAGATAAAACTAACAAAGAAAACTTAGTGGCCAAGGCCTTTCGCTTTTAAATTATTAATTTGAATTAGGACAAGTAGGCTTTGCCCATTGCTCTTCTTCCTATTGGTTGCTTGTAATAATCTGTAATAGTATATCATAACAGCATTTGGTTGTGTTACAATTATTGTATTTGAATAATTATTGGGATACACAATTTCTCACCAAGAGTTAGTTGAAAGATTGATATCTCTCTCATATATCAGTCAAATATAAAAAGGTACAGCTAGGAGATAGCTAGGCTCCTGAAACTAGCCTCACCAGTTACTTCCTGGAATCTTGTCAAGAAGTATTATCTATAGGCGCATTCACACTGGATTACTTTTCCCCGTACTTTTCCCGTTTAGTTCCGTTAGTATCCCTTATTTTGCGTTCACACCAAAAAGAGTATTTAGTGCCGGGAACTTTTACTCCCATTTTTAGTGCCTGCTAGATAGGTGGTAATATCCTGGGGAGAAAAAAGTACCAATTTCTATTGGCTGGGCGAATTGCAAACCGTGTGATAACAATTGCAAACCACGCCCCGTAAAACGTTTTGTGAAGCCGCCATTGTATTTACTGGCATTAGCATTATTAGCATTAGCCCCGCGCACCAACGCAGAGAGACTAACTTATGGCAACACAAAAGAAAACATGGGAGCGGTGGAGTTGAGGAGGTGTCAGCGTTCTGGCGATTTACTCGGAAGGCTTCAGTAGAAGCTGCTGGGAGTCCCAGCAGCTTCTACTGAAGCCAGTCCCCAACTCCAGGGACTTCCGGCCGGGGACTTCGGGTGGCAGCATACGCCGTGAAGTTGTTTGCGGCCTGCCAGTAAACCCAAAGCAGAAGAAGACGAAGTGACGTCAGCGGCTCATTTGCGTAATATTCCCTCAGGGAACTTATTCCGGTGTGAACGCGATCTGTACTTAGTTCCATGGGGGTACTAAGGGCCGGGGCACCAAGTGCCGGCACCAAGTACGGCAAAGTACTTGGTGTGAAAGCGGCTATTATGATCAACCCCTCGTAAAGCCACACCACTTGCTTAGTTTTGTACGAATGTAATACTCAAGGTATATTATTAGCTTTACCTAGCTGTAGAGTCCATGATTAATAGTGAGTTTTATATGTGCTGGAATGCTTTGTTGTCATTAAAGAGCCATTCTGACGTTTTCCCTGTTTCCAGTCCTAATGCTAAGCTAAGCTAACTGGCTGCTGGCTGTAGCTTTGTATTTAGTGTTCACAGACATGTTTGGTATCAATCATCTCATCTAGCTCTCAGCAAGAAAGCAAATAAAACTAATTTATCTAAGAACAGTTTTTTTTCTTGCAGTATAAGAAAACGACAACTCTTAAGTTACAGACTCACATAATACATATTGTTAACTCAGATATCAAAACATCCACAAAAAGTTAAGATGTGAAGTGCACTGCTCAGTAATAAATCTATAACTAATTTGTCAAAGACTTCTGAAGTCAAAGATGTGCAGCAACAGGGCAAATCTGTGCCAAAGGTTACAGAGAAACTCATAAATAAGATCAATTTGCCTATTTACTATGCTTCCCTCCCATTTCCCTTTATCTACACTTCCCTTCTTTGCAGACAACCAGCTGCTGCCCCCTACCTCCATCTGAGCGAGGGATGTTCCCCGGAGAGGAAAAGAGGGGATGAAGGTAGACAAGAGGTGGAGGAAGAGGGATGGAAGGCAGGATGGAGGGAGGGGGCGGATGGGTTCGACGAGACGCATGTGTCGGGATCTTTTGTGTTGAATTCCCCTCTGTCACCACCACCACTGTTGTTATAACACACACACACAGAGACACACACACTTCTGCTGCCTTTCGGGGTCCCAACAGCCCCCCACGCACGCACTCATTATGGGGTTTTACCACGGACGTATGATATGGGATTTGGGTTCAACAGAGAAGTTGGGGTCACAGGCCAGGGGAGAGAAACCCTCCCAACCCTCCACCCTCAGGCCCATGGGAGGAGATAAGCCATAATCACTCCATTCTGTCATCCTATCTTTCTCCAAACGGCCACCACCTGAAATATTACTACATCTCTCCCTTTTTCGCTACCCATTTTTAGTTCTGTTCTTTTAGAAAAGTGCTGCCTAAAAGCGATTTTATGCAATTAAATAAAAAACAGGTCACAATTTCACTTTGTTTCTACTTAGCAGCAAAAAAGCTGCCAGTAGCAAAAAGGCAATAATGTAAAACTCTTGAAACAATTCCCATTAATTTACATAAAACTGAACTTGGATACTCTTTGATGCAGAAACAAGAAATCGCCTTGTAAACTTCACACTACTTTTGGAAGAATGACAACAGAGCAGGGTCGGCGTCATGGGGGGTCATTCGCGGGCCATGCCCCCCCAAATGAGTCACTGTGCCACCCCCAACAGGGCAGGCAAGCCTTGCCACTTTGCCATTTTTTTTTAATCATATAGGCTAAGTGAAAACGTTTCCACTAAAAGTTTTTTGTGTGAAATACATCAGAAATAAAGAATACAAACACAGCCTGAGGTGTGCTCACTGCTGCTCTCTGATTGGTGTGTTGCTTGACCAATGACCCCCGACCTTTGTTTTGTTATCATTACGTGGCTGTGTGTTTAGATGAAAGCCCAGTGGCGATCTGTTCATCTGTTGTACTGATTATAGTAAAGCCATCGAAAATAATATGATATACAGTAAGTACAAGTACTTCTGGGTCTCTGTGTTTCATTCAAGCTCGGCTCTGTGTGTGTGGCACGAGCGCATTTTGTGAGTGCTCGAGCGGTAATGTGGAATGTTGTTGTTAGCATCTGGTTAGCTCGCTATGCTAACGGATATAAAGAGCTGTTTCTACACCAAGGTGGAGGAGAGTTCTCTCCTGTCAGACTGAGAGGATCTTATAACGTCAGCTCAGTGAGGTAAGGACTCTCTCAGTGTTTAGATAGTTCACTTTAGTGTAAGTTATCTCAGTGGGTCTCAAACGGTTTGGTCACCATTTATGTAAACAAGTATTTGCGAGGAACACCTTTATATGATCATTATAGTTATTAAAAAATAAGAGAATAAATGAAAAACAGGTATGAAATACTATAGGACAGTAACACAAGAATACAGTTTAAAAGGGGAGTGATTAGTAAAATATCCATAAAGAAAAAGTAAATCTGTGTACAGTTCTGTTTCATATGGGTGTTGAGAGATGTAGCTATCCATAGATCTCTTCATTTTGCTCTCAAAGTGCACCAGATTGATGCATTTAACTTCAATATTTAAAAGAAAATCTTCCAGGGGGAGCATGCCCCCAGACCCTCCTAGAGGAGGTTAGGTCCACCCCCACCTAAAACATGTTCACATGGACAGAATACTAAATACATTTGCACACTTTTTATATGGTGGCCTATTTCCATATGTTTCTGTTTTGGTGGTCGTGCCACAACCGTGCATGTATGCACAGGTCATAGGTGCGCTAGAAAATAGCACTACACCCCTGCAATGTGTGTGAAAGACAATAGACTTTACAGCATGGTTTTTTTAAATTGAAGTTGCGTTGGTGTTTGTGTGTTGGTTGTTGATGGCAGTGTGTGCCCCCCCTTGGTAAATGATTGCCCCCCCATTCGATTTGTTCTAGAGCCGACCCTGCAACAGAGTAACATAGCCGATAGGTGCAAGTGAAAACATATTTTACAGTTTGATAAAACAAGAGATGGATACATTAAAATGGATTAACGTTTTGATATTTGGGATGGTTAAGAGGATCCATTCTACACTTGTCAATCATTCAACTGTACCAATCATTATCTTTTCTTATGAAAAGGAATACATAGAGATAGCCGCTTTCACACCAAGTACTTTGCCGTACTTAGTGCCGGCACTTAGTGCAGATCGCGTTCACACCAGTATGGTTCACACCAGTATGGTTCACACCAGAATAAATTCCCTGAGGGAAGATTACGCAAATGAAGCCGCTGACGTCACTTCTTCTTCTTCTAGTTTGGGTTTACTGGCAGGCCGCAAACCACTTCACGCGTATACTGCCACCCGAAGTCCCCGGAGTTGGGGACTGGCTTCAGTAGAAAATGCTGGGACTGGGAAAAGGTTCCTATGTCTGATTGGCTGGGCGGATTGCAAACCACGCCCCGTAAAACTCCCAACAAGTTTTGTGAAGCCGCCATTTTATTATCCTCGCATTAGCATTATTAGCCTTAGCATTAGCCCAGCGCACCAACGCAGAGAGACTAATTTATGGCAACACAAAAGAAAACATGGGAGCGGTGGAGATGAGGAGATGTCGGTAGTGATGGCAAAATGAAGCTTTGAATGAAGCGTCGAACCACTTGGACAATTGTGTCGGAAATAGGTTCATTTCTCGAAGCTTCAGTTACAGCGACCTCTCCTGGCGAAGTGCAAGGCTGCAGTGGGTTTAACGTATCTTTGCCTTGAAAAATATTCGATGCACACACACACTAAGACTGAATATCATGTTCTATTTGCAATTAAAGATTGATAATTGTGTGTATTGGGTTATTGAGAAGAGACTAGAGAGTGCTAGACATGTTTTTGGGCGGAGAGGGCCTTTTATCAGTCATTAAAGTTGAAAAGCAATGATTAAAATACGTCCATTCCGGGATTTGAACCAGCTACGCGGAGGACATCGCCGCATTCTGGCCGCCGGCTCTATCCACTGGACTATCTATTCCTTGAAATATTTAACTATTTTTATATTACTGATAATTGTCTTTTTGTTCACAACTTCTCCACATTTCGAAGTGTTTCCCGAGCCAGAACGACCTATCTTTCTTCCTGGCTTGCTCTATAATGATATCAAATGCAATACCAACAACAACTCAACAGCAAGAACGCAAACTACGACAACAACCCACACATTGCGCATTGTTTAGAGCGGTCATAAAGTGTTGAAGCACTCAAGTTTGAAACTGTTTCAACCTGTCACCTGTCAGAATCAAGACGAGGCAGTGCATTGAATCGCGTGAATGGACCGTGAACCAGTCAAGTGATTCATTCAGGAAATGAAGCAGTTGCTGCTTCGGACGTCACATGTCACGTGATTTGAAGCAGTTGCTGCTTCTGACGTCATATGTCACGTGATTTGAAGCAAGCTTCGAAGCACTGCTTCTATGGAATAGGAAGTCCAGGGTTGAAGCTCCGTTCGAAGCTTCAGTGTCAAACTGCCATCACTAGGTGTCGGCGTTCTGGCGATTTACTCGGAAGGCTTCAGTAGAAGCAGCTGGGAGTCCCAGCAGCTTCTACTGAAGCCAGTCCCCAACTCCGGGGACTTCCGGCCGGGGACTTCGGGTGGCAGTATATGCCGTGAAGTTGTTTGCGGCCTGCCAGTAAACCCAAAGCAGAAGAAGAAGAAGTTACGTCAGCGGCTTCATTTGCCTAAACCTCCCCCAGGGACTTATTCCGGTGTGAACGCGATCTGTACTTAGTTCATGAGAACTAAAGAGTTCTCATGAACTAAGTTCTGATGAACCTTTGTGGGGAAAGTACTGCGGTGTGAAAGCGCCTATTCTTCCTCTTTATGCATCCCACAACTCTGCAAAATCACCTCCTCCCACTACACACATTGCTCCTCATCCATGATAATCTGGGACAGATGATGCAGAGTGTGGCACGAGCCGGCCTACAGAAGCATGGAACCCCCCGCGGACTCTCAGCTGTACGCATATAGGCACTTCAACAAAACATGAATTATGGATCTTGTGAAAATTAATAATGAAGGGAAGATAATATCTGAGCTGCAGAAGCATGAAGAGTAAGCATGAAGAGATGAATCATTCCTCAGTGGTTATGATTAGATTCGACACAATGTTCATCAGTGTGTAGACCAATGTGCATAAATAATAATAATTGTAATCCCTGTTGTTTGATAATCTTCAAAATATCTCGAGTTGAGAGCATGTCTAGGTCCTGAGGCTGACCAGGAATAAGATGCTGTTATGGTGATTATTTTATCATTGTAAAATCAAATTGTTCATTTTATTCTCAATATAAATTCAAAAGTTTGCAGAAGCCTATTTTGCCCAAAGTGTTGCTGTAGTATAAGGAGACGTTTTCAGATAAAAAAGTAGAAAACAGGATATATATATATATTTATATTTTTCTAAATAGGAAAAGTTTATATCGCAAATAGGGGAAATCACCAGAAAATCTTAGTGAGTGGAGCTGACAAATAAAGGAACAGTTATCAAGTTAACAATGAGGACACAGCACACAATCCCTTATATATATTGTAAGTGTTAAAAACCAAATGTTTGAAAAGACATATGAAACTAAAAGAGAGAGTGCAGCCCTCCACCAGGGCCATTACCTTAAGGGAAATAATGCATGTGTCAGCCCAGAGATTTGGATCTGCTTCAAAATGTAAAGGGTTCTTCAATGACCCATGTTAAACCCTTTCCACCAATCTTCATTATCATCGGGCCAATGATTTACATTAAGTAAGAGCAGTGCAACATGCTAGGAAGTATGTTAGCTGCTCCATCCTTCACTTTGGCTCTCTGATGGGAAACCAGGCTATTAAGGCATTCCTTTAGAGAAGTCCTGGTTCTCTTCCAAGGCTGGGTTCTGAGAGAGTCTGTGTGTACTAGTGTGTGTGTGTGTGTGTGTGTGTGTGTGTGTGTGTGTGTGTGTGTGTGTGTGTGTGTGTGTGTGTGT